CCGCCGCCGCCGGTGGTGGTGGTGGACGGCGCGGGCAGCAGCGCGGCCGCTCCGCCGCGTGCGCCGAAGAAGGATTTTCTCAAAGAAGCACAGACGCTTCTCACCAATGCTGTTTTCAGGCCTTGAAAGATAGGAAGTATACGATAACAGGGGTGAAATGAATTGTTGAATGATGATGCCTGCCATTTTTTTATGTTTATGATGTGAGGGAACGCGAACGACACTCTAACTAGCAATCATGGTCGCACATATTGGAGTCGGCGGCCCACAGTCCTTTAGATACCCTATTTGTTATTCTACTCTCCTTTTGTTTTTGTTTTTTTTTTTTTTTACATTCATTATTTAATATCTCTATTTTCTTATTCATACAAGTCAATATATCGAAATCAAGACGCCCATGATTACAACTCGTCGAAATAAACATCTACGCCTTCGTGCTTAGAGATCATCGTTGCCAAGATGGGATGACAGCTAGCCACCGAAAAAAAAGCCAGTACACCTGACTGCCAAAAGAAGTTGGATGGGTGCCCGATTCCCACCTGAAACTGCCATGTGCTGATCTCGCGGCCGAGCGCTGAAGGCACTGAGAGGTACATGATACCTTACCATGAGGGTGATAAAAAAAAGTCACTCTATTAAATCTAGGAAAAGGAATAAGGGGAATTGAAAATGGGAATAAGCAGGATAAGCAAGATAAGAGGGATTAAAAAAATAAAGAAGATTAGAAAGATTAAAAAGATTAACAAGATAAAGAAGTTAAGAAATAGTAGGAATAAGGAAGAGGAGTATATTACCTAAGGGAACACGCTCAGGTGACCACGCGTAAAAGGGAGACCAGTCGGTGCAGTGACACGAGCTGTCTTTAGCATCCTACACCACGCCTACCAGCAGATAACTAGGATGGATCGTGACCTTCAGCCACTCGATTCTGGCCTTGTGGCTTCGAAATTCCGAGAAGCAGCGGATCACTTGCCCGCCCTAGACGGTGGTCGTCAGATACTAGAGTGGATGGACGCGATGATGCAAAGCCTCGTTATTTTACAGGAAACCACCCGGCAGGGGTTCGCAGATATGAGAGCAGAATTCCAAGCACGATTCGATACGATGGACCAGAGAATGACAGCTATGTAAGTTTACGAAAATATCTACTTAAGTACTAGAGCAATGCTAACATGAGTTTTCTTGGGGGCAGGAATAGAAATTTTACAGCGCGGATGCTGAATAGCAGGGTTACACATCGAGGTGTGCCGCTCGCCCAACTATACAGTGAACGGGATGGAGAAATCATACAGGGGTGTCCTACGACTCTAGAGGCGTTGGATGCGCTACTAGGTAAGTTGACCGTGACTTGTTCATGGTTCATGAGGCTTATTCTAGCAGATCGCGACGTGGTTTCTTTATTAGAGCAGCTGGGGGAAGATGTAGTAGGCAACGCCACGCAGCGAAAGCAGCAGTTGGAATTGTCGCTAGGCATCATGTATCGCGCAACCAAAGGTCCGTAGTACTTTGTGGACCTGGATGTGTTTCTGCCTCGTGGAAGGGGATTGATTGACAGTGCAGGCGCTGACAGCGGCGTCTGAGACTTGTTGCCCTCCGTTCTACCCCAATCAAGAAAACTACCCAAACAATGGCTAAGTCTAGAGCCTGCTCTTCTCTCTCGTCTTCTTTCTTCTTTCGCTTTACCTAATCCGGTTCCTCTCAGCTCACGGCCTCTAATTTCCAAGAAGCCCCCTCCATCGCGAAAATATTCATTAGAATAATAAAGTTTTTCATCTCCCACCTCACCTGCTATAGCCACCGCCCATCATGCCAGAACAGACACACCTCCACATCGGTCAGCGCCCGCGCTTGGAAAGACGGCTTGTCTTGCACCGGATCTGCAACCAGGAACAAGGGCGCAATCCCTAAACTCTATCGTAACTAATGTGATTTCATCAAAAAAAATGGTATATTGTCTTTGACACATGGGGATTCTGCCACGTGCCGCAAATGGCGGACGCCCCCCAAGATCCTGGCTACGGCGCTCAATAATGTTCGCATTTATATATGGATGGAGCTTGAGGCAGGTGCCGGTTCTCGAGTCGAACGGTGGGAAATTGCTGCAAGCCACATATAACAACGACGCAGCAAAGTATCTGCGTGTACGAATTACCTGCTTTTACCTGGTGATGCCGCATTGACCTCAGTGAACGACACACCGTTCGGTGCTATAATTGCGTCCAAGGTCGTATTAGCTACCCCCCCTCTCTCTGCTAGCCCGCCGCGTGGGTTTCTTGCGGGCATGCAACCACTTTGGCACTTGCACTGATAGATTGACACTAGAGAATGAATAGTGCCATTTCTGGGTCGGCAGCGCGGGGAACCAGTTTGACGTGGCTCGGTAGTCAGACCCGAACAAGAAGAGGCTACGCCGAACGGACACGTGGAAACCCAAGGCTGGCGTTGCATCGAGGGGGCAACTATGATGAACCCCTCAAAGATATTCCCCTAGCCTATTCCCCTCTGCAATCCAGACAATTTATAGTGCGTCATCGTGTTTGTGACTTGGTCTCCTCGGCGCTTCTCCCTAGATCGCGACATGGACTGTCTGGTGTCGGACAAACTATTCGTGCACACATCCCATTCCGGCAACTCGCGGAATCGCCGAGTTGCCTGCGGTTTCGCCGAGATGGCATTTCCACGCCATATGCACAAGTAGACAGCGACGTGCTATCGGTGTGTCTCTTGGGCCACCAATAACGAACCGTGCTCTGCGCTGTCGACGTCGCCCACCGCGAACCTGTAAAATGAACAATATTACCGGTGTTTCCTCGTTCTCAGCACGATTTCTATTTTTAAGCTTTGCCATGTGCAATATCACCGGCGGTGGCTTGCATCGTACGACGGGGTCCATTGCTACACGCCCACGGACACCAACGGACGCCCCTCTCGTGGGTATTCCAACTGCTCAGACCATTGCTACCAACATTGCCAATTCGCACGCCGCGTGGGTTTTTCGCTCAGACCTGGTAGTAGCGAAAGCCGGACGACCAGACCGTAACCGGTGGGGTTTTTCGACTTTATCCCCGTGCGTTCAGACACTATTACCGACGGAACTCGCTCCGCGTTGCCCGAACTTTGTCCTCGGGTCGAAAGGCAAGTGGGCGAGATGAGGGTGTACAAGGTGTGAATGTATAAAGTATATGTGTATTGGATGATGCCTGAGACTTCTGCGCAAAAGGGCATATGAAAGCTAAATTAGTATTAAGTCAAGGAATAACGGAAAACGAGATTGCGCCATGCAAGTCAGACTTCCTCACGGCTCAGCCTGCCGTCATCTATATCAAGTAGTCGTCCCATGAGATATTGTATTGCTCCATGCTCCAAAAGTACTCCTATTCCCGTAATGCTTGCACGCGAAACACAGTCGTACAACGCCTTGCGCGACGACTACCCCAACGCCCCTTTTGTCTGAGCTCTGTGTTATCGCCTCGCAACGTCTGTCGTATGCAGAAAAATTACAAAATGGTAAATGCAGGTCGTCGCTAGTTCGTTCGCTGTCGTTTACAAGCCCACGCCAGATTCAGTAATAGGTTCTAGCGGCTTTTGTCGTGAATGGATAGAGTGAGTACATTGCCTGTTTCAGTGGGTGAGCACCTTGACAGCCTGGAGGATGAGGCCGAAGATGAGGCCCCGCGCAACTTCTTCAATCTGGAGACAGTCAAAGACGCGGCCCAGTGCCTCTCCCGTCGCCGCTTGTCCCATGACGCCCATGAGCGCCGCAGGAACGCCGCTCTGGATCAGCAGCTTGCGCGCCTTGGCTGCTAGTTGCTCCTTTTCCTCTGCCGTCAGCTCCGCAGGCCAGGCAGCTAGCTCTTCCTCTGTCGGCATACTGTTTTCCCGCACTTTGCGCAACTGCTCCGCGATTCCAGAATCCGCTGTGTACGCATCGAGCACAGAGGACTGGATCAGACTCTGCACAGTAAGAAGGGACGGGTTTCCGGGACGCAGCAGGAAAGATTTGGCGGCAGTCAGTAGAGTGCGACGAATGTTCCAAGCCGACGAAAGTGTGTACATCTCATTAATCACAGCAAAGAGGAGCTCCACGGCAACCCTCGTTTCGTTCTCGCTAAGTTTCGAGTGAGCTTTGATGGGTCGGACGGCCGCCTTCTTTCCATTCGTTGCAGAACCTTGAGTGGAACTGATCGAGGGCTGAGACATGTGCCCAATAGAGTGGTTTTTGCTATGAGCTGTTTCATTCATAGCCGTCACGTCACGGCCCGAAGGCGACTCGTAGTCATCGGCCATCTCATCCGGCGGCGGTGGTAGCTTAACGTACTCCAAGCTGATGGACGACGGAGACCGTAGCGGCGGCGCCAAGCTTGAAGCTCTACTATGTTCTCGGCTTGGTCGAGCACTGATCGAGGCAGATGCTGTAGAGTCGAGCCTCTCGGAACGTCCCATGCGAGTCCCGTCTCCTTCATTATCACTTTGGAACTGAAGGCTTGGTCGGCGTTCCATCATGGGCATTTTGCCGGGTTGAGTAGAGACAACCGAAGATCGCTGACTGTCAATACTAGCACGCTCAGATCTCGCAGGCGACGACTTGAGCGTGTCTGTTCTCACGGGCGTTGAAAGTGAATGCCGTTTACTTGGTGTCAGATCGACGGATTGGTTTGGAGCCTTCTTTCCGATGCCGGGGAAGTTTCCGAATACGCCCGTAACGCCACCGACAAGAGTCTTGCCGCCTTCCATCGCACCTTTTGGCGCAATCGCAAGAACATCGAGCATGTTTTTGCCAACAGATTCCCAGGCAAATGACTTGCTGTTGCCATGCGTATGACCCTGTGACTTTTCAAGGAATCTCTTCATGCCTTCACTCTCCGCGAGGCATTGGTACCAGCAGGCATCGCGAAGATAACGTTCCAGCTCGCCACGAAGCGACTCTCGGCTGTGAATCTTCCAGCCCGGCAGCTCTTTGTGTAGCTCCGTGAAAGCCGTAGCACCAGACACTGTCGCGATACGTCGCAAAATTTCATGGAGCGTTTCGAAATCAGAGTACCTTCTCACAATCATCCATCCAGGGTATCCAGCTGAAGACGGCTCAACCTGAATCAAGTAGTCCCAGTTCGGCTTATTTCGAATCTTGGCAGTATCGCCAGTGGCATCGTCGTGGAGCGTAAAGGAAGCGTTGTGGAGCGTCAGCGGCGCTTTCTTCGGCGCGTCCTCTTCTTCTTGTTCGGGTTCTGCTGCCGGGACGATCTGGTCAAAATTGGTAAAGTGTTGGCTGTCTCGGCGATCACGTTTTGGCGACGAGTTCTGACTTGAAGTATCCATGGTCGAGCGAGGCGTGACCGGAGTAAATGTTGGTTCACTTGCACCATCAACAGAAGCACCAAATGGAGACGAGCGGCCTTGAGCTAGCGGAGGGGTCGAATACTGTATAGTCGTCGCAGTTGTGCGATTAGAAGCAGCCTCGTCAGTCGAGAACGGATCTATGCTCTGCATCGAAGGCGCGGATGAGTCGTTGGTCATTGATCGCCTGCGTTCCTCGGTATCTTCCATCATCCCACTCATGCGTTTCATCTCCTCGACGGCCACTTCAACTTCTTCGTCAGCTTTGCTAAGTCGCTTCCTATGCACTTGTACTTCTTTTCTTCTACCACGTTCATACTCGCCGGACGAGCGGCCGACGGGCTTGGCAATGCTAATATTTCCAACATTACCATCGATATCGGCGAAAATGTTATTGGCGGTATCTCGGGCGCGTTGCATTCCCACGTCGATGGCCTGGTTGATGTCAGGTTCTCCGGCCTCCAAGAGGTACACGATCCAGCCGTTGATCCATTCAGGTTTACTGCATGTTTGCAGCAAGTTTTCCAGAACGGTGTTGGCTAGAACTTCTCTCAGAAGAGCACGGGCTGGGTCACAGTCATAGGCACTGGGTTCCATGAATGACAGCAGGTCATCCGCGACCATTTTGAACTTGGCGGCTTGTTGTTTTTGGTTCAACAAGCTCGCCAGCCGCGAGTCTGTGTTTGACGCGAGATATGTATAGACGGCATCGACGGCGGTCATGTTCGACTCGGCGGGCACATCGGCAAAAGCGGCCGCAAGCTCCGACATGAACGCGATGGCGATGGAGGACGAGTTGGTCAGAAGGTCGAGAAAGGAGTCGGCGGGTCTTTTTCTAGCCATGCGATTCGAGACGGCTAGGATATAGGAAGTGAGGGTTCTGCGACAAGCAAGGGGGAACGAGTGATCGGTCGGAATGATGGGGCTGTACCACCACTTGACGTAATCCTTTATTATAGTATCGACAAGACCGCTTAGAGCCTCGCGGGTTTCCGGTCGGAAGTCGTCGAAGCCTTTGAAAATGAGTTGGTCCTCCTTGTCGGCCTCACTCTCTTCCTCGGCGACCCTGGTGGCCTGAAGGTCAGTCCAAATGCGTTCCAGCGCATCGGGACCCTTTTCGCCTCGGACTGTTCGGGCAATGTTGGGGTTGCGACCCTCCCACACGACAAAAGCAGCGGCGCCTCCTACCGCGCCAATGACGAGCAGGCCAAACTGTCCGAGGATGGCGTATGTGACGCCAGCAAAGCCAACCGCGATGCCGGCTAGCGTTACTGGGGATGCTTTAGATAGGAAGTTCATGACTTTGGTCAATAGAACAGACTCCTCGGTGCTCGGTTGCGGGGGCTCGGGAATATCGTTCATTGTTTGCTTTGCTATAGCTTCGGCAGCGGCATCCTGTCTTTCGGCATGCGACAGGAGAGGCTCGCTTTCTGCAGCTTGTGCGACGCTGGAGTCGGGAACGGGCTTTGCGCCATCGCGAGGAGGGGCTTCGAGACCCTGCGCAGGCTCGGCAGCGTCGGCCATTGAAGTACGTCGTTTATAGCTTGCGGGTGAGCGAACAAGAGTTAATATATGATGCGCGATGGCGAGTTGATATCATATCAGTTGTAGACGTTCACGTCGCCACGGGCGAGGAGGACAAGATGCATGGGGGGTGGACAAGAAACATACAACAGACATCCCTTGCCAAACTTTAGAGCTCCAGCTGCGTAATCCCAATTTAGTGCTGGAACTGGGGGAACCTTCAAGGGGCAAACAGTGGAGGCGCTGCCAATCAACGTTTCGATCGAACCACCCCTGACACTAGCCTTGTGCCGAGCTCTGTCTTGGCCCAGGCCCATTTAAAGCGGCTCAGTGAAAGAGCACGAAATACTGTAAAGGGAACCCGAGACGAAGTGATGTCTACCATATCATTTTGAGGTGATCAATGGCATGAGAATTGCTATCACTTTTGACGCGTATTAAGCGTCTCTGTACGCTTGCCGGTCCGGCACGGCAGTTGCCAGCTGGCAAAACGTAGAGTCACGTGCGCTGGCGTCGTTGTTGCGGTTTGTCTTTCAGTTCAGCGCGTTTGGCAGACACTCAGCGCGTCTCAGCAGCTGGCTTCCCTCCCCGACACTTCACATCGACTCGGCGACTGTTTGGTCCCGAATCTACATATCAATTGAGTCTCTTTGGTGTCAAGAGTCGTTTTCCATTTCTTCCCTTTGTCATCCCCTCCATCGATCAGTCATCATGGGCAACAAAAGACGCGCCAGCGTCGGAGAAGACGGCAGCGACGCCGAGGTAGTGCACAAGGTCTCCAAGAAGAGCAAAACCAGCGCAGGCATCGTCTCACCTGCAGGAAAAGATGATGAAGGCAACCCTTTCTGGGAGGTCAGTTTATCTCCGCTCGGCTGTGAGTGCCTCCAAAACTAACCGTTTGCTGCAGATCTCCAACACACGCCGAGTGGGCATTTCTGAGTTCAAGGGCGTATGCATGATCAGCATTCGAGAGTACTACGAAAAGAACGGCAAACTTTTGCATGGCAAGAAAGTAAGCAATTGAGTCTATTGATTCCCCGTTCTTGGGGCTAACAGATCCAGGGCATCTCGATGCCGGTGGACCAGTACGCCGCGCTACTGAAGCTTTTGCCTTCAATCAGCGGAAAGCTACGCGAAATGGGGCAACTCGTTGATACGCCGGACAAACCTGAGGGAGACACCGCAACCATGGTGAAGAAGTCGAAGAAGGAAAAGTCGGACAAAGCAAACATCGAGGCCACGAGCGACGAGGATGAGGACTAGCGAACCCTACCTACGATGCACGAGCGCGAAGTAGCCAACCCGCACAAGGAGCGCAAGTCCCACAAGAGGGACAAAAAGTGCCCCAGGAAGTAGACGACCATTCCACCATTTTGCTCTAGAACGCGTTTGTGCGCATGCAAACGTCGGTGAGAGGGAAGTTGTCGCTTTCGTTCATTTGTTCACTTATCATTTTGGACGAGATACATTTATTGTACATTTGCATGGAAACCGCTGTTATGGTTTCACCAGGCGAGTGACATATGGCCTACGCCGCCATGAAATCGGAATACCCGTTAGCATCAAGTTAGCAAACAATGTGAGACCCTGCGCAGATGCGCGGATGCGCATATTTTTCTACAATGGTGTTGGATGCAAACCCGTATCTGCGTAAAATTTATATCTAAGTTTGGAAATACTCCGATTTGCAATGCTTCCACCCGATCCGCAGTGCGTCTTGGCCACATGAATCTAGACTAATCTTGCATACCAGTACAGCATGAGGCGGGGGTTTGACAAAGAAAACTTGTCGACGTGTGGGTGTGTGGAAGGTGACCAGTCTCTTTTTTTTGCTTCTAGAATTGCAATTCCCACAATATCATCTCTGCTTCACGCTTTTACGGGATGCAGGATTCGTCAATGCCGATGTCTCTTTCCATGGTCAGTGCAACGTAGACGAAGCCGATATGCAGACAAAAGACCAGAAAGTCAGTATATTCGAGGTGGGCATCTCGCTGACCGTGTTCAAAATTCCAGTGTGACTTGTGTTCATATGACAATTCATCGGCTCGCTTCGAATGTCAAGCCGACTGCGGTCTTTGTGAGAGACCCTTCTCGAATACACATACACACATACACCAAGGGTCTACTCGTCGTCATAAATACGACATGTGCGACCGCCAGATTGAGCATACTCGCTGCCTGGCAGGTTCTTTGCATTATCTCCCGATGCGTCACTACGGCTTCTCGCGCATCCGGACGGCCGATTGCAGCGGTCTGTCGATGAGGCTCCTGCGACTCTCCGGTCTAGCCAAGGCACGGGGACGACTTTCCTTCCTCGGATAAAGAGGGCGGTATCATGGTAGTTTAACAAGGGTCGCACAACTGTACAGGTCAGAGGAGGTTCTTTTCATTGACAGCAAAGGCTGTTCCAGTATCACAGGCTCAAGTCCGAGGTCGGGCGCCGTCCGCTTCGGGCCTTCTTTAACGGGGAAAACAGTCAGCGATCTCGATGGCATGCATTGAATGCGACTAGAAATGAATGTTCTGTACCATATCCAAGCATTGGCGCTATTGCGTTCGGAGCTGGCAAGGACGGCGACGAAGACGACGATGGTATGGATGGGTGGGAGCACACGAGTCGGTCGAGGAAGTGCAAAAACGGCGAAATGGTCTTACCGGTCCAGGTCAGGAGCTCGGCCTTGGCGGGGCCAGTCGTCTCGCCGTGCAATAGGACAGCATAGTGCTGTGTTTGCGAAAAGTATTTGAACCCCAGATATTCCCCCCTGCTCTCGATCTCGATCACTTTCCACGGCAACAGGATATCACTACTCATCTCACTAAATACAAACTAGTGAATACTTGATACTTCCTTTACTTCCCCTCTTACATGATGCAATCACTGCTTGCAAGCACAGCTCGTCTCTGTGGCGGCAGTGGTGGTAGTTGTAGCCAGTCTGTGGCAAAGCTCTTAGTCGGCCAACGCCGCCGCGGCTTGGCTAGTGACAGCACCATGCCACCGGGGTTTACCGCCTCTGTTGGTCGGCTGAACACGTATTGCCTGCCCGACAAGGTGACAGGGTCGGCATCTGACCGGTTGATGGCAGAGGCCATGGTTCAGTCATGGCGCCGGGATGGTATCTTACAGATCGCCATGTCACCGCAGCAGCAGAGCATATACCAGAATGCAAATGCGGCCAGCCGGCGCTTCTTCCAGCGGAGAAGCGCACAGAAGCAGCAGTGTGTTAACGAGAAGAGCTACGCTGGCTATGTTGCCTCGGGTGAGGAGATTACGGACGGCGTCGCCGACTATTCGGAAATATTTACAGTGACCAAGGATCTGGCAGAGGATGACCACAGAGTGGCTGGAAAGTGGCCATGCCATGGCCCGTGCCCGTGGCCGAACGAGGACATGAAGTTGAACATGACGGCATATACAGACGATCTCTCACGGAGTGGCGATCAGCTGCTGGAGATGATTGAACTGGGTCTCCGCGTTCCACGGGGGTCTCTCAAGCGGTACACCGAGGATGGATGGCATCACATGCGAGTACTGCGGTATGTGTGCCAGATTTTACAGAAAACTAGACGCATTCATGGCTAACAGATGTGCAGCTTTCCACAGAGAGATCAAACCAACGGCAAGGGAAAGAAGGGGCGCGGCATTGGTTCCCACACAGACTATGGCCTGTTGGTCATGGCCGCGCAAGATGAAGTTGGTGGTACGTATACTCGGTCAAGCCGAGCTGCCAGCCTAGATACTGACGTTTGACAGGTTTGTTTGTAAGGCCGCCACATCAGAGCGAACATTACGCCAACTGGGAAAAGAGCGCGGCTGGCATGCGGGAAGACGATTCTGGTTGGGTTTACGTGCCACCCACCCCCGGAGTATTCACTGTGTTTCCTGGTACGTGATTTAGGGTCCAAAACTCGCACAGAATGGAGCGCGGATCAACTGACAGTGATACAGGGGACATGATGCAGTACATGACAAACAGCTACCTCAAGTCGACGCCGCACAAGGTCGGCCTCAACACCAGGGAGCGGTTTGCTTTTGCCTACTTCCACGAGCCCAACTTTGCGTCTGTCCTCAAGCCCCTGCCCGGGTATGAGAGCGGTGCCGCGTCGGACGCGGAAGGCATCCACTATGGGACGCACTTTACCAACATGTGCCTGCGCAACTACCCTGATCGCGTGACGACCAAGAAGCTGCTGCAGGAAGGGCGGTGCAAGATGCTTACGCTGCCGCAGCTACGGCGTGTAGCGGCGCCGACGCGGTCGCCCGGCGCGAGCGGCGGTGGCTGCGCCGAAGATGAGGCGGTGCTTCGGCACGGTGGCTACCCGGCACCGAGGATGGAGTTGTCGAACGCGTGAAATCTGGAATTTCGTGTGCGAGTGGCGAGATGATGATGATAGTGCAGCATCGGTGGGGCGATTCGTTTTCCATGGCTGGCCTTTTTTTTTTTCTTTCTACTGAGTTTGGGAGTGGGAAACCCATCTGTTGTCGACTGTGCGACTGAGCGATCACAGGTACTTTTTTTTTGTGTAAATTTGGGGGGCGAGGGGGTGGCAGTGAGCGGATGATTTATTCAACAAAAAAGAAAAAAAAAAGAAGGAAGAGAGAGAGAGATGAGATGGCAGTCTTCATCGATAACATGATTAGGCTGTGGTAGGATAGGGGGAGGGAAGATGAGTATTGCAAGCAGAGCGATTTGTATGCAAATTGCGACCGAATATTTCTAGCTTGAACAATAAACAGGAAAACTTAATCGCGTTTGAATCGTCCTCTGGTAGACCCGAACAACTTACAAATAATGATAATAAGAAGTTGATGATGCTACTAACTAGGTCGGCAGTGTACAAATTATGCGGACACGGAACGCCGTATGCGTATTCGCTCACACCTCCCGGCGCGCTTCTTCACCGCAAGGCTGCTGCAAGCCCCCTGCAATCGACAGCCCGTCCTTTTTTTTTCTCGCCCTTTTTCTTCGCTCCTTTTCTTCGTAGTGGGGCACAGGTCGCAACAGCGAGCCGGCGTATCTACGAGATTGTACCTACGGATTACGCAGATGGTGCTAGTGCAAGGCCAGCAGGCCAGCGCGCATCACGTATTCGGCCCAACAGCCGGCTGCGTATCACATCACCAACAGGTTGAGGGCGACGCAGCATCAACACCAGAATGGCAGCTATTGGCGGAATCTTTGTTGATTAGGCTACCACATCCGTACACAAGATAGCTGCGAGCCTCAAAGAGAGGTATTTATCCGCTTAGAATTGCACCGTCAATGAATTCTTTTTTCCCCTGACACCCACCAGTTACTTCGTACAGTACTACTACCCTACCAGTTTGTCAGGGCCCGCAATTAAATCTTGCCAGCCAGGGGATCGTCTTCGCTTCTGTACTGGGGCTGCCCAACTTTCAAGTATCCTTTTTCTTGTTTTCTGGTTTCTTTTTCATACCGCCTTCAACACCACGGACAGCATCTCGTCCTTTTCGTCTCTCATTTTTTCCTTTTCTCTTCTAACCACAGCGCACCGAGTTGTCTCTTGTGCTGCTCATTTCTTCCCTTACCTACCTGTATGTACACGTCCCGTCTCCGATTACGCACCAAGCAACCATTTTTTGTCGCCTCCCACACTACTGCTTCATCCCGCCCATTGGCGCGTGCCGCCTTAGTATTGTTCCTAACCAGCCGACTGACAATGACAAAAAAAAAGCCACAGGCAGGACCACCATTACAGTATCGCATCGAACTGCCCAGAGTGCACTGCCTACGCCGCAGTCGACACATCACACATCAGCAGTCTGCATTGCTGCGGCGTCTGACGCTACGCACCATCAAAACCCCCTAGCGATCCTACCTCAGCTCAGGTAAGCCCATTGCCGAACACAGACCCTGTCTCTCTCCTGTCCGAATGCCGCGATCCCTTCTATTCAAACTTCACTACATATCTCCCTCAAACCTATATTCCCATGGCCATGCCGCCCGCTCTCCCAAATGGACCTCCCTGCTCGTCAGCACATACTCACACCCCGCCTAGGACCCATCTCCGAAGCCCCGCGTCCTCCTCGCCCTCGCCAATGTCGTAAACCGAGCCGCCGAGTTACCTTTTCAGACACCGTCGAGATGAATTTTCTTCCCACGCGCTTTCGCGGTGAGACGACTGGCCCCGCCAAGGCCGCGCCCCCGACCTGGGCCGGCAAGACCATTACGCCGTTTCTGCACTTCCTCGGCCGACTAGCGGGTTCCCACCCCATCCATACCATCGTCCTCGTCGCTGTCCTCGCCAGCTCCTCCTACATCGGCTTGATTCAAGACAGCTTGCTCGAGAGAACCGCGACCGTCAGCAAGGCCGACTGGTCCTCCCTCACCGAGGGTAGCCGGGAGCTCTATGCCAGCCCCGAGACTGCCTGGCGATGGCAGAGCGTCGAGGCTGGTGCCCAGAGCACCAGCAAGTCTGACCACCTTGCTCTCCTGACCTTTGTCTTCCCGGATACTCTCTCCGCCGATTCCCTCGATGTCGCTCCCCTCGCCGAGGCCGTTCCGACCCCGCACAATCTCTCCATCACCTCTCTGCCCGTCACTGAGAACCCCTTCACGACATACACCCAGGACAGCATCCTCGCCTACTCCCTCCCTTACAGCCAGGCTCGCGAATTCCTTACCGCCGCCCAGGAGATCCCCTCTGAGAATAGTGAGGCCGTCCTCACCCGCCTTGGTCGCGAGGAAAAGATGTGGATCATGAAAGCCGCCAAGGTGCACACCCGCAACACCTTTGTCGAGTGGGCTCGCAACGCTTGGACCGAGTTTATTGACCTGCTCAAGAACGCCGAGACTCTCGACATTGTCATCATGGTCCTGGGCTACCTCTCCATGCACCTGACCTTTGTGTCTCTGTTCTTGTCCATGCGCCGCATGGGTTCCAACCTCTGGCTCGGCATGAGCACTCTCTTTGCCTCTGCCTTTGCCTTTGTTTTTGGTCTTGCCGTCACCACGAAGCTTGGTGTCCCCATCAGCGTCATCCTGCTGTCCGAGGGGTTGCCTTTCCTTGTCGTCACTATCGGCTTCGAAAAAAATATTGTCCTCACCCGCGCCGTTCTCAACCACGCCATCGAGGCTCGCCGCAAGCAAGCCCAGAACTCCAAGGGCAAGAGCAAATCTCTCACCCAGGACGCCATCCAGACTGCTATTTACGCTGCCATCAAGGACAAAGGCTATGAGATTATCCGCGACTACGCTATTGAGATTACCATTCTGGTCCTCGGCGCTGCTTCTGGCGTCCAGGGTGGTCTTCAGCAGTTCTGTTTCCTCGCCGCTTGGATCCTGTTTTTCGACTGCCTCCTGCTCTTTACCTTCTACACTGCCATTCTCAGCATCAAGCTTGAGATCAACCGCATCAAGCGCCATTTCGAGATGCGACAGGCCCTCGAGGCTGACGGCGTCAGCCGCCGTGTTGCGGAAAATGTTGCCTCGAGCAACGACTGGCCCAACGGCGATGCCAAGACCTCCAAGGACAAGGCTCTCTTTGGTCGCGGTATGAAGAGCAGCAGCGTCCCCACGTTCAAGGTCCTCATGATTTCTGGGTTTGTCTTCATCAACGTGGTCAATATCTGCACCATCCCCTTCCGCAGTGGCAGCTCTTTTGCTACACTTCGCTCCTGGGCTGGTGGTCTCGGCGGTGTGGTGTCTACGCCTCCCGTGGACCCCTTTAAGGTGGCCGCAAATGGTCTAGATGTTGTCCTCGCTGCTGCCAAGGCTCGTGGCCAGGCCGTTCTCGTCTCCATCCTTACGCCCATCAAATATGAGCTCGAGTACCCCTCCATTCACTACGCCCTTCCTGCTTCTCTTGCCGACGCTGCCGTCCACGGATCCCAGTCTAGCCATTTCGACAGCTATGGAGTGGGTGGTCGTGTTGTTGGCAGCTTGCTCAAAAGCCTCGAGGACCCAATTCTGTCCAAGTGGATTGTTGTCGCTCTCGCTCTCAGCGTTGGCCTTAACGGATACCTGTTCAACATTGCTCGCTGGGGTATCAACGAGCCCAGTGTTTCCGAGGGCTCGGAGCACCACATTGACCGCAAGGAGCTTGCCCGTGCCCAGCGCTTCAACGAGACTGAGCCCAGCTCCATTCCTCTAGGACAATACGTCGCTCCCACCCCCCAGCCTACCGAGCCCGCTACTCCTGCTCTTACCGATGATGAGGGCGATGGCCTGTCCATGACCAGGCCTAAACCCACCCCTACCGCCAACCGCAGCAACGCCGAACTTGATCAGCTGCTCCTAGAGAAGCGCATTCCGGAGATGACGGATGAAGAGGTTGTCGCCATGTCAATGCGCGGAAAGATCCCCGGATATGCTCTCGAAAAGACTCTTGGTGACTTTACACGCGCTGTCAAGGTTCGCCGTACCATTATCTCCCGGACCAAGGCCACGTCGTCCATCACACACAGCCTGGATCGCTCCCGCCTGCCATACCAGAACTACGACTGGGAGCGCGTCTTTGGTGCCTGCTGTGAAAACGTTATTGGTTACATGCCCATCCCCGTCGGTGTTGCGGGCCCGCTCGTGATTGACGGACAGAGCTACTTTATCCCCATGGCTACCACCGAAGGTGTCTTGGTTGCCAGTGCTAGCAGAGGCTGCAAGGCCATCAACTCTGGTGGCGGCGCTATTACTGTGCTGACTGGTGACGGCATGACCCGAGGTCCCTGTGTGAGCTTTGAGACGCTGGAGCGTGCCGGTGCGGCCAAGCTGTGGCTCGACTCTGAGGAGGGTCAAAATATGATGAAGAAGGCATTCAACTCGACAAGTCGTTTTGCGCGTCTACAGACGATGAAGACTGCCATGGCCGGGACCAATCTCTACATTCGGTTCCGCACAACCACTGGTGATGCAATGGGCATGAACATGATTTCCAAGGGTGTGGAGCACGCGTTGAACATTATGTCTACCGAGGGTGGCTTCGACGACATGGTTATCATTTCTGTCTCGGGCAACTACTGCTCGGATAAGAAGCCGGCTGCCATTAACTGGATCGAGGGCCGTGGTAAGAGTGTTGTGGCGGAGGCAATCATTCCTGGTGATGTTGTGAAGAGCGTGCTCAAGTGCGATGTCGACACGCTTGTCGAGCTCAACATTAGCAAGAACTTGATTGGTTCCGCCATGGCTGGTGCGATGGGTGGCTTCAACGCACACGCCGCTAACATTGTCGCGGCTATTTACCTGGCCACCGGTCAGGACCCCGCGCAGGTGGTGGAGAGCTCCAACTGCATCACCATCATGAAGAACCTCCACGGTGCGCTGCAAATCTCGGTGTCGATGCCGTCACTGGAAGTCGGCACGCTGGGTGGGGGCACCATCCTGGAGCCGCAGAGCTCCATGCTCGACCTGCTTGGCGTGCGTGGCTCGCACCCTACGAATCCTGGTGACAACGCACGGCGTCTTGCGCGCATCATTGCGGCGTCGGTGCTCGCTGGTGAGCTGTCACTATGCAGCGCCCTGGCCGCCGGGCATCTGGTCCGGGCACACATGCAGCATAACCGCAGCGCTGCGCCCTCGAGGACGACAACGCCTGCGCCGCCGGCCACACCTGTCTCGCTAGCCATGACGAATGGGGTTGAAAAGGCCAATGGCATGAGTGCGGCGGCGCATCAGCGATCTAGACGGTAGAAGCAGCAAGGGAATTTAGCCATGATACCAAAGAGGGGGGAGTGGATTGGGCAACTTTCGTCGGCAATCCTTTGTAGGAGGAAAGACGTGGCATTAGCGTACAACGTTTGATGACGTGCACTCGGTGTATATATGGTGCAACTCGCTCGTTTCGGTTTATAGAAGTTTGCATATGGTATAGGCTATATTAATATTGATTCATTATTCATTACTCATCCTCCGTGTCGCTCGTGGTGGTCATGTGCTAGTTGTCATGTATATGCAAGAGCCCTGACCTTTTCCAGGGCTGGTGACGTGGACAGGACCACGTCGATGCCGTGACTCTTGAGCTCCTCGACCACCTGTTCGTACGTATCGGGTGACACGGCTCTCGTAGCGTCGCCCAGGACCACGGTTCTGAATCCCAGCCGGGCGGCATCCTCGGCCGTTGCCCTGACGCAATAATCCAGCGCCAGGCCAACGACATAGACGTCGGTCACGCCCTCGCGCCGCAGAAGCGCGCCCAGACCGCTATCCGACTCCCCAAACGGGTCGGTAAACGCAGAGTACATTTCGCGGTCGACGGCGCGGCCCTTATCCAGCACGCGGTCGACGCGCATCATGTCCAGCTCCGGGAGAAGTTGCGCGCCGGGGGTGTCGGCGACGCAGTGCGCGGGCCACAGCGTCGTGGTGTACTGCTGGCCGGTGCGCGGGTGGGTGATGGTGTGGCACGAGGTAAAGGGCGCGGCGGAGGGGTGCGTGTGGGCAAAGGAGACGTGGTCCGGCGGGTGCCAGTCGCGCGTGGCGATGCGCAGGGCAAACGGCAGGGTGAGGAGGCTGTTGATGAGCGGGACGATGGAGCGGCCGTCGGGTACGGCGAGGGAGCCGTGCTGGCGGGGGGTTAGTTGGGGGGCGTTGGAGGGGGGGAAAGGCGTGCGCACGGGAGGGCAAAAGTCTTCTTGGAGGTCGACGACGATGAGCGCCGGGTTGAAGGCGGTCATGGCGGCAAGGGAGATGTTGTCGGCGGCATGGGGGAGAGAGGTTGACGGTGGCGCGCCTGGCGAAAAGATGCGGCCGGAACGAGGCCGAGGCTAGCCCCGCTGTCGGGTCGGCTGTTTGTTGGCTGCAGTCAAGTTGCAACTACGAAAAAAAAAAATGGTAGAAAAAAGTAGGCATTGGCTTAGTTGATGATGAAGAAACGGGCAAGTTGCGCTGCCGGCATGTAATGTGCATCAACATGCAGGGTCAAATATGCATAAATCAGTTATTGCATGGTGGCGTTGTCACTGTACCTCGAGGCTCCATTGTAGCTTTATTAGTCAGTTAGACAAACATGCAAAGAAAGGGAGGGTTGATATGTTGTGCGCGCAGAAAAATAAAATATTGGCTAAAAATAATAAATGTCTGGGATACATCTCGGGTTTGCAATAGAAAGGTCTGGGGATTATGGCCAAGCCAACTTTCCGACGAAATATGCATCACCATGTTTGCAAGGTGGCGTGAGCTTGACCCGACACGAACCGGAGAAAATGGCCAAGATGGATGGATCGACAAATATTCGCAGCCTACGTGACGTATCACGGCAGGGAGAATGATTGATTTTGAAGTTTGTTCCTTGTAGAATGCCAAGTAAGAAGAGTCGTTGTCGGAATGCAGTTGCAACGCCCCAGCAAGGTCTGTCTGGCCCCGAGCCTCTTGCCCACCATATGTTTTCGTGCTGCAAATAGAACTCCCCCCGTCGTCCACAACTTGCCCATGATGCACTGGGATGCTATTCCTTCATCCATGTCCCGTTCCCAGCCTCGGAGCCGCTCCGGCACCCGCCCCACCCCCACGGCGTCGTCGCTCAGCATACGCAAAAGGCCAACTTACGGCCTTCCCTCGTCTCGTTGCGGCAGCAGTCTATGTTGCAATAAGCGCTTAGGATCCACTCGCCCTGGACGTTGCAGGTCATCAGGGCGTCGTGGTCCCGGATCGATGTGTTCGGGTAGCCGCTGCAGAGGTAGTCGCCTGGGCGGCAGCTATAGACAATGCCCGTGCCGCCTGCCGGGGCGGCGGCGGCGCCGGTGACGGCGGCAAGGACGAGGAGCAGTGTGGCTTTCAAGGTCGGCATTCTCAGGAGTAGAGGCGTGAGAAGGGGTTTTTGAGATGGAAGATGAATGTTTAAATGTTAGGTAAAAACAGGGGTTTTTAAGTCTTTTGGTTGATGGGTGACTTGGGAAAGGGGCCTTAGCCTGGCCTTTTTATACCAGAGGATGGAGATATTGTCCCATTGATGCGACCGTTCCCTTTCCCTGATCCAGGCTCTAGATGCACTGCTGACCGCTATTCTATCGTCTACTTGGAATCTATGCCGTCGCCGTCGCCGTCAGCCTCAGCCTCGCTTGTTTGTATCTACAGGGCTAACACTGGATGCGAGGCTCTCAACTGCGCGCCAGTCTACCTACTTTACGGCCTCGTACTCGGCGTTTTCTCCTTCACCGTCTTGCTTCCGCGTCACAGGCTGTTTATCTTACACGATAAGGCCTCCTTAGCATATATATCACAACCTATATATAGTTACATATAAATAAGTAGCTATAAAAGAGTAATAGTATAATAAAGAGCTACTAGAAGAGGACTTTCCTCTTTTAGTAATTAATAAAGTTATTATTAAGAGTTAATTATTAGTCTATTATAATATCTTTATTATCTCTTCTTTTACCTTTTTTAAATTAACTACTATTTTTTAATAAGTTAATTACTTTTATTTATAATAAATAAAAAACCTATAAAAAAGATATTAACTAGAATTACCTATTCCTACTCTATATAGCTACTTATAATTTATTTATTACTTTTTAATAAAGCTATTATATTTATAAATATAGTAAACTCTTTACTTATAAATATCTTATTTAATAATATTATAGTATATAATACCTATAAAACTTACTTTTTAGTATTAATAGCTACTATTATTAGTATACTATTAGACCTTAATAAGACTATTATAATATTATATTAAGAAAGTAATAAGCTTAAAGTAAAAATAAACTAAATAATTTAACTTAAAGTTTTAATATAATAGAACCTTATATATAAGTAAAACTAGTTTATTATTTAGTTATAAATAAGAAAAAATATAAAAGTTCTTTAAGAACTTTATTATAATTTTAAATTAATAACTAAATAAAGTTATAATAAAGTTAAAAAAGATATTATATAAAACCTATAAATTTTAAAAAAGGAAGTTAAAAAGTATTTTAAATATTTATAATTAACCTTAAAGCTATTTTTTAAAGTAATTTTTATAACTTTACTATAATAGTAAGGTTAGATTAGGTAGAAAGATAGGAAAGTAAAAAGTAGGTTATATTACTTATTAAGACTAAAACTTATTCCCTTTTTCCTTCTAGGAAATATCCCCCTTATTTTATAATAACTAAAAGGAGGATAACCTATCCTTTTAATTAGAGTTTAAATACTATTTAAATACTAGTTAAAACTTATATAAACTAGTCCTATTCCTATAAGTCTACTTAAGGTCTTAATTTAGGCTTAACTTACCTATAGATCTTACTAATCTTATAACTAATTCTTCTTTAAGGTAACTCTAGCCCCTCCTACCTTATAGTAGATTAGTTATCCTATATAATTTACGTTTACTATAAATCTTTAACTACTATATATCTAGTATTTATAGTATACTATATATAGCTCTCTAAGTATTTAGACTCTTTACCTTTATAGATACTAAATTAGCTTTAATTTAAATTATATACTTAGAGTATTATATTTACTATAAATTAATAAAAGGTTATTTATATATCTTTTTACTTTATAAAAAAAATATTAAATTAATAAATTATATTTTTTAATAAAATATTAATAAAGATTATATAAATATTTATAATTAAAAGTACTTTTATAACTAGGTAGTTAATAAGGTTAATATTAAATAAACCTAATACCTTTAGGTATTTTTATAGTTAAATCTTATAAAATAAATAAAAAATAAAATATTTAGAGATTATATAAGTTATTAAGAAATAAAAAAGCTAAAGTTAAGTAATTATATAAATATAATACTTTATATTATATTTATATTTATATCTTTATTATTAATCTTAATAAAAATATTAAAGCTAAAGAAGTATTTAAAATATAAAAGAAGTTAAAATATTATAGTTTTATTATAAAACTATAATATAACTAAATAAACTAAAAATATACCTAAGTAATAAGAGGTTAAGAAGAGTAAGATATACTTTATAAAAGTAATAATACTAGTATATCTAATTTTATACCTTAAAGAGTTAAGATTACTAAGCCTAGGTAAGATTATAGAAATATAGTAATATTATAAAGAGAATAAAATAATATTCTTTACTAGAAATATAGTAAATATTACTATAAAACTAACTATATAAAGCTAGATTATTAAGAATATAAAGTAATAAGTTATATTATTATATACTATAAGAATAATTATATAAATATAAAAAGTATATAAAGATAAAATAGTAAGCTTATTATAAAGCTAAATATACTATTATTAAAAAGTATAAGAATAGCTTAATAAGGTATAAAGTCTTTAAAAGTAAATAATAAGCTAATATAAATAGAAATAGTATAGTAAAAAAGTAGTAATTTTATAATAAAAGTAGTTATTAACTTAAAAACTTAAGAAAACTTAATTTACTATTAGCTAATAAAGAATAAAATACTAAAGCTAATAAAGCTATTATAAAATATTTTTAATAATATAATATATATACTTTTAAGGTATATTACCTAGATAGTAAAATTAAAATATAATTAAGAATATATAAAATAGTAGTAAATATACTTTATTATTACTAATATTAGGTTAAATAATATACTTTTTAGTTTTCTTTAGCTATAAGAAGCTAATCTATATATTTTATAGTAATATAACTATATTAACTATTACCTAATAGCTAAAGACTTTATAATAATATAAAGAATATAAAGACTTTATAGTATTATTATAATAATATAATACCTACTTATCTTAATAATACCTTTATTTAAGATAAAAGGGGAGATACTAAAGGCTAACCTAATTATATAATATACTATAAAGATACTAACCTTAAAAGAAGATAATACTATAAGGAAAGAGTAGTAAAGTAATAATAATAAAAAACTAATAACTATTCCCCTAGAATACTAAGACCTAGTAGAAGTATTCTTACTAGAGATAGCTATAATACTACCTTTAATAAAAAGACCTATATATATAATTAAGTTAAATAAAAGATTAATACTATTATAAAAACCTATTTATATACTTATAGAAAGAAAGCTATAAGAACTTTATAAATTTTTAAATAAAGTAATATAAAGAGAATAAATATAATACTTTATAAGTCTAGTAAAAGCTTTAGTATTATTTATTTTAAAAAAAGGGGGTAAACTATACTTATATATTAACTATAAAGAGATTAATATTATAACCTATTATAATTATATAGTATTACTATTAATAAATAAAATATTAAATTAATTATAAAGAGTAAAGGTATTTATAAAGATTAATTTAAAAAATATATATTATTAAATTTAAAATTAAAAAGGTAATAAGTAGAAAATAGCCTTTTAATATAAATATAGCTATTTTAAGTATATAGTTATACCTTTTAGCCTTATAAATATACTAGCTATATTCTAAGAATATATTAATAAAATACTATAAAGCTTAATAGATTATACCTATATTATATACTTAGATAATATCTTAATATATAGTAATAATCTTATAAAGTATATATAATAAGTCTATAAGGTTCTTTAATAACTACTAAATATAAAGCTATATATAAACCTTAAAAAATATAAATTTAGAATAATAGTAGTATTATTCTTAGGTTTTATTATCTCCTTAGATAGTATTAGTATAAAATATAGCTATATTAAAGTTATAATAGAATAGCTACTACCTTATAGTATAAAGAAAGTTTAAGTATTTATTAGCTTTATTAATTTTTATTATAGATTTATTAAGGTATTTAGTAAGATAGTAAAACTACTTATAAATATTAGTTATAATAATAAATATAAAGGTATTATATTAAATAGTAACTAGATTATAGTATTTAAGTAGCTAAAACTAGCTTTCTAGAAAGGCTTAATACTAATATAATTTAACCTAACTATATATACTAAAGTTAAAATAGATATATTAGACTTTATAATTAAGGTAATTCTTATATAATTATAATAAGGTTATTAGTACTTTATTATATTTCTATTATAAAAGCTAGTTAAACCTAAACTTAGATACTAAATACTAAATATAAAGATATTTATAATTATAAAAGTATTCTACTAGTAAAGATATTACCTTATATATCTAATATATATAGTAAAGGTACTAATAAACTACCTAAACTATAGCTATTTAGTAATAAAAAATAAAGCTATTAAGTTATTATAACTAATAGGGTATATATTGATAACAGGCAGCTTAGAAGCTAGAAGAACAATCTCCTATTACCTAGTATATCTAGCACTTACCTATACTATATAACTAGATAGAAGTTATATAATATAATAACTTTACCTCTTACCCTATATATACCCTATTAGACTTAATAGGTTATAAGCCTAGTAGTACTTATATTATAAAAGCTACTAATAAAATAAAAGAAAGTATTAATTTCTTACTAAATTTACCTACTATCTATATAAGCTAATATTTACTATAAAACTTAAGAAATTTATAACTCTTTATATATAGGAAGAGGAAAGACCTTAAACTCTAGCTAATCTAGAATATATTTAATAAGTCTATTTACTATAAAAATTCTATATAAAGAAAAAGAAATTCTACTATTATACCTTATTTAGTAATTTATATATAGACTCTATATACTTATTTTATATATATTATAATATAAATTTACCTAATATAGTTATAGCTTCTAAATAAATATATTTATTAGATTATTTACTATAATCTATAGTTTTAATTATTATAAAAGGTATATAATAACTACTTACTTAGTAAGAAGAATTTCTTATTATTTATTTAAATACTTTTTACTTTTAAATAAATATAAAGTACTTAGTTTAAAAAGAGAGATTATATACTTAGCCTATTATTCT